AGAGAGAGAGAGAGAGAGAGAGAGAGAGAGAGAGAGAGAGAGAGAGAGAGAGGTAGTCTTTTGTGTGGGGAGGTTCAAAATCTATGTGTACGTTGTTCCCAACCTGCATGGATACAAGGAGGACAAGTTTGAGATGTTGCAAGCTAGAGTCGTTCTCACAGCCGTTCGGTACAACAAGACTGGCCTGAGGTGTATAGGACAAGGAAGCTTACGGAGGTCAGCGTATGGAAGGAATTCAGAATGGAGGGCTAATGACGGTATTATCATTGTCGCCTTTCACTTGCCTTCCCAGTTTCAAGACCAAATAAGTTGCTGAAAATAGCTACCAGCCTACCACTGAAATAATTTATTAAAATTTAAGAGTACCTACCCTAAGCTACCCCCTAAGCTATCCCCTAAGCTACCACCTAAGCTATCAAGGAAACATGGCATCGATATGGAGCGCTGGCTAGTTCAGCACCTACTCCTACTCCTACTACTCCTCCACTCACCACCAGCACTGCAGCAGCAGCAGCACCACCATCCCTTCTACTCCTGTTAAAACAGCAACAGCAGGAACAACAACAGCAGAGACAATAATAATGACAACAATAAACACTGATTGATGGAATAAAAAAAATAGGAAAAAAGGAAATCCTAAACTTTTGTCTGTTCTCACGGACTCTCACTGCTATGGCTGAAGCTCACACGAGTCTTAGGGCATACTCACACTGGACTTACCTGCATGATCAAACTGCAAACACGACTAGATTCAGCTGAAAAAAATGCTGGCGAGAGTATGCCCTCACTCCTCGAAACAATCGTTGTATGCTCGCTTGCTTGCTTACAGCAAGTGTGCAAGTCAAAAAAAAAAAAAAAAAAAAAAAAAAAAAGAAGTCAAGTGTGCAAGTCCCTTGCTCAATCGAGACTCTCTCTTCTGCTGAAAAAGCCCCTCTTCTCAAGGAAGATGAAGAAGAAGACGACAAAGAAAAACTCCATATCCTTCTCCTTGCTGCGAGTCTTCCCAGAAAGAACGCTCGCCAACTGCTCAGCACCCACATAGCCAAGCTTTCCATGCCTCTCGAAGTCTATCTATACTCTCTAAGCTTTTTGATGGTGTGCACACTACCTGTGACCTTTCCACATGCTCCATGTCACAACCGGTGGGGGTCTTTAACATCCTTCAACAAAGAGAAAAAGAAGAATTACACAAATTCTCGCTCTTGTGATCTTGATCTCAGTCAGCCGCAGCCATCCTCCCCTCGTGTTTGGACTTCAAACCTCTGAAAACATTTCCATACGACTTGAGCTTTCTTGGTGAGCTCACGTTCTTCGTTCCTTCCTTGCTTCCTTCTTTCCCTCCTTCCCTCCTTCCCTCCTTCCCTGTCAACCTCAGCCATTGTCCCCTCGTGCTCAGACTTTAAACCTCCAAAAACATTTCAGCAAATTTCGAAGCTTTATTGCTGAGCTTTGAAACTATGTTTGTCTTATTCCTTCCCACCTTCCCTCCCTCCCTCCTTCCCTCCTTCCCTCCTTCCCTCCTTCCTTCTCCTTCCTTCTCCTTCCTTCTCCTGCCTTCCTCTCTTTTCACTCCAGCATGACATGCCGACATCAGGATTAATGATGACATCAGCATGCATTTCCTTCCTTCCTTCCTTCCTTCCTTCCTTCCTTCTTTCCTTCCTTCCTTCCTTCCTCCCCCCC